TATACCACAATTTATTAATCCATTCATGGGTTGATGGGCACTTGGGCTTCTTCCATGACTTAGCAATTATGAATTGGGCTACAATAAACATTCTGGTGCAAATATCTTTGTTATAAAGTGATTTTTGGTCTTCTAGATATATACCTAGTAGAGGAATAAAGGATCAAATGGCAGGTCTATTTTTAGATCCCTAAATGATCTCCAAACATCTTTCCAAAAGGAACGTATTAGTTTGCATTCCCACCAGCAGTGCAGAAGTGTTCCCTTTTCTCCACATCCACACCAACATCTATGGTGTTGGGATTTTGTGATGTGGGCTGATCATACTGGAGTTAGATGACATCTCAATGTGGCTTTGATTTGCATTTCTCTGATGATTACGGATGATGAGCATTTTTTCATGTGTCTATAGGCCATGTGCCTGTCTTCTTCAGAGAAGTTTCTCTTCAAGTCCCTTGCTCACGCTGAGATGGGGGTCACTTGTTCTTTTCTTGCTAGTATGTTAGAGTTCTCTGTGGATTCTGGTTATTAAACCTTTGTCAGAGACATAACCTGCAAATACCTTCTCCCATTCTGAGGGCTGTCTGCTTGCTTCACTTACTATGTTCTTGGCTATGCAGAAGCTTTTTAGTTTGATCAGATCCCAGTAATGTATTTTTGGTGGGGCTTCAATTGCCTGGGGTGCATCATCAACTCTTATGTATCAAGCCACACATGCAGTGGCTCAAGAAGGGTGGCTTGTGGGGAAGCATCCTGCCTTTGGTCTCATTTGTTCCTCCCGCCACCTCCTTCAAGGCATCCTGCTCACCTCCTGCACCTGTTCTGCCTCCTCTGAGCTGCCCTTCTCTGTGCAGTTGGATTCCTTGACAGAAGGAGCCAGAGTCCACCTGCCTGTCCCTGGAAGCCTGGATGGCATTCTCAGCACTTCGTGGTTCCGAGGGCACAAAGCCCAACCAGCAGCAATGATATTCTCCGCGGAAGGCCTCCCAGGACCTGCTTACACTGGCCGGGAGATGCTGGGCACCCATGGCAGTCTGGTCATCAGAAACGTGACAGCCCAGGACTCGGGCAGCTACACAGTGGTGCTAGAAACCAGCAGTGGACGCAGGAGTGCGACAGAGCAGATCCACGTCAAGAGTGAGTGGGGCCTCATAGTGGAAGGGCCTGTGTTCTCAGAAAGCAGACCTACTAGACCCCACAGGGCCCGTCAAGATACATTCTATGCCTGTTATCAATTGCTTGTCAACAAAATACCCCTAAACTTAAAACAGCAACCATTTGTTTAGTTCACAATTCTGCTGGACAGTTCTTGTGGCTGGCTGGTGGGGTGCCTGAGCACTAGCTGATACAGAATGGCCTCATTCATACGTCTGGCAGAGCAAGGGACTTGAAGAGACGTAGCCAGGTGGGAAGATGGGGTTGCCTGGGCCGTGAAGCCTGCCATCCTCCAGCAGGGTAGCCCAGGCTTGCTCATCCCACAATGGAAGAAGAACAAGTGCAGAGGCTGCAAGGTTCCTTAGGGCCCAGGCTCAGAACTTGCACACCATCACTTCACCACCTTCCATTGGCTGGAGCAAATCACATGACCAGACCAGAAAGTAGGTTCCACCTCTTAAAGGGGAGGAGTTACAAGGTGGTACTGCAGTTTTATGTCCTTTGCTGTGCCTTCCAACAGGTATTT